GTTAGCATGACTGATAACTATCCCCCTCCTATAAATACTGTGTGATGCCGTACGATACTCACCTCCGACGATGAAAGCTTGTCTGCTTTTGAAACGTCAGGACAAAACAATCATGGTTCCCGAGATCGCCTCTTCTTCTCATTTATGTCCGGGGACTCGAATCTTCGCTTCTATTATATATATATAGGCAGAATGATATTACCGATATATATATAGGCAGAATGAAATTATCGATAAAGAGACGGGAGACTGCAATGGCCATTTCTGGCTTATTAGCCGTCGTCAGCCAGCCATACCCAAGCCCGAAGTGTGGAACACCCGAGCCTCGAATTCGCGACCTGTTGGTTTAGAAGTCCACGCCTCTACCCACCGGGCCACGAGCCCGTTGCCCTGTCGGTTTTCGATCGGGAATATACAATGGTAGGGGGCGCTCACCGATCGTTCATACGGAACTCACTCGTCTCCCTTGTCTTTGCCGGTAATAACATTCTGCATATATATGTATATATATATTACGTTTTTCTTACCATTGACCCTCGATACTCTTATAAATTGGAATAAATATTATAAAATATGTTCAAAATGCGCTTTCTTGTACTCACTTGGTGTTTTTAATTTTTTTTTAATTCTCAAATAAATTCGAACCCCATCTCCCACTGCAACTGCACCTAAGGCTAGCGACCCACAAGTTCCACAGTTTCCATCTATTGGAAAATCTGCATTCCTCTTTGTCATTAGGCATGTGTCCTATATGACTCACAAAATGTCGCGGTGAGTGCGGAAGAGGCTGTGTATTTTATGAGAAGCCTTAACAAGCGGATAGCTATGGGGCTATGTGAATAGACATTAAGCGGCTTTACAAATCTCATAACAGGAAACTTCCTAAAGCCAGGAGATACCTTTTCGAGCATACAATTCAACAAAGCCTGACTCGCCACCAAATGAATATGTCAAGGAACATTATTATGCGGATTTTCGATAAAATATTTTGTCCTTTTTGTTGATTTCGGTCTTTATAGGTGATCGGAAAGAAGTACATTCAAAGCCATCGTGATTGGAACGCTCAGACATTATGCTGCAGATAATGAGTATTGTAACCCCACCTAAATACTTCTTTCTAATAAAAACATATTTCGGAATTTCGCTTAACATTCCATGAGATCGTTCACTGACTGTTCCCTCAAAAATATGACATCGCTGAAAATTGTAAAACTAACCGCCAGGGTTTTGATTTCATCCCTCCATTGGGATACATGAATTCGCACGTGTTATTCATTAGGGCATTGCCAAAAGGGATGCAAGTTTGGCAAAGCAGTTCAGCCCAGATTTTAATTTTTCACATAATTTAAAGAGTTCATGTTTAGGTACAGAGTTTGTGTTTTCGTTGGGGGTTGATAAAATGTGCTCATTCAAACCGTGTTCCTGTAATCTGCAAGTATTTGTCTTATGAAGCCACAAGGGTTCGATCCAATGTCTAAAGATACATCTTTTTAAAGATACTAGATAAAGCTTCTTTGATTTTTTACGAAAGACGCAAATTGTTGCTCCCTTTTCAGTTGCGGAAGTCAAGGGCAAAGCAAAAACATGTTCTGCATCAGAAATTTCTCCCAAGCCTGTCTCACAAAACCTCACTATATTAAAGGAAGAGACTCCATAGCAAGACGTAGGACGCGCTTTAGAAGAGTTTATTCAATAAAAATAATCCGAGTACATCAATATGAGCACCGTCATCCTTAGAATCCAAACAGAGTGGCGCCAATCACAACTGCAAAAAGAATAAACGAGAGATTACAGAACACATAGCCAAAGGCTGTACTGCTGGTTAGGAATATCTGCCTGCATTGCAACTGTATTTTGAAAAATATATTTCTCCATGCTTATGGCATCAAATAAACCTGGGGACATTATAAAATAACGCGGTCTCTGCTGATGAGCGATAGCGGGTGAGTGTAAGTGACTTTCCAGAATTCAAAGCCCTCTATGTTAAGATACGCAAACATAACCTACCTGTCAAAAGCGTACCAAGGATATTGCTGCGCTTGTCTTCAGCTAAAGCAAATGTTTCATTTGAATTGCCAGTTTGTCTAGTAACCAGGACATTATTGCGAATGAACAAAGCTAGACCAGTGTGAGCATTTAAAGTATATTGCATCCAGTTAATTGAGACTGACTCACAATGAGGATTACAGGCATTATGGCGGCTATTATGAATTAAGCTTCAATTAGAAATGCATTCGCTCATCTGCGCTTTTTTCTCACCTGACTTTGAAGTCAAAGACTGACCACCTTTAAAATGGGAGAAAGCGTTACTGTGTATGTAAAAGAAGGGGAAAGGTTCGCTAAAATTGCAAATAACAAAATATTTGTTTGAATTAAAGAAGTCGTAGACCGAAGTAGATGACGTAGGTGGTTGAAAGAACGTATAAGAATGGGAGATTTCCAATCAATCTGTAATCGGCCCATATACGTCGACCATAACTGCTCATTTACAAACAACCCTTAAAATTACATTAGCTAGCCGGTAAGTGCGGAATAAGCAAAAACTCCTGTCAAATGAGTAAACTTGATTTTTAGAAATACTTAAGGCCTTTAAAACGAAAAAGCGTCGCCGTGTACGCAACATGGAGTGAAGGGTTTGCTTGAATTGAGAATGACAAAATATTTTTCGGAATTAAAAAAGGCGTGAAACAAAGTAGATGACATAATTGGTTGAAAGAACGTATAAGTATGAGAAATTTCCAGTCCATCAGGAATCGCCCAAATTTGTATACCATAACTGTTCATTAGCACAAAACAGCCCTCAGAAATATTGGGAGCATTATTACATTGGCCAGAAGGAGCCATTTTCTAGAGAAGACCGTAAATGCCAAAGACGCGAAAATTCCTGTTAAATGAGTATGCTGAATTTGTAGAAGTACTTAAAGCCTGTCTGTCCAAATAGCTGAGTAGACCAAATAGCAGCATAACCTTTGAAAATTGTCGTTTTATACAGTTTCCATTGAATGTCCTCCAAAAATCAAGGTAGCAAAAAGTGTGGAAATATCATATCATCGATCGCATGTTCCGCAGCGTTATTATGGGAATTTACGACTTTCAAGATGCAGTTGACTAAGCCAAAGAGGATTTCGCCTAACTTTGCAGGTAGGGACGACGCACAGCCTAGTTTTTTAATAAATTCAGATGTCAAGAGACCGGACAGTCACTGAAGATGTGAAATAGAACTAGCACTTGCAACTCTGCTAACCTCTGCATATCAAGGGAAAATTCCTTTAGTGAAACTGTTGTACTGTTGCTGGTGGTGCTGGAGTTTGCTGAAACTCAGATTCGGGTAAAAACCCCAAAAATAGCGTGCAGGTTCACCGTCTGCCTCACCTAATTTACGCGGAGCAAAAAAATGCATTCTCAAGGGAGCAAAGATTGTTTTTGTGGGCCTCTCGTTTAAATTGATTTCGTATTGCAAAAAAACAAGTACTGACAAACAACTGTGGTCTGTGACAGTTATTAACACAGAAACTGCTCTGAATTTAAGGTAGCGTTGAGCTCTGCCATAATTTGCAAAATTTTCTCCTGGTCATAACCGCTCAGAAACATATGCTGCGAGAGCAAAGAACTCTTTCTAAAACGGATTAGACGCATGAGGAGAATGCAAAACGTAAGGGGTTATTCGAAATTATTATGTAAATTTTAGTCATCGCGTTACACCCCTTGACAGTTCGGCCGTCGTGACTGACGGTGTCCACAGTGCGCTCCACAGCAAGACGAAGCAGGCACGGCGACTTGCACGTGAATTCGTTTATAAAGAGAGTAGACTTGCGCAGAATCTACCGCACTCTCCCCTCCTCCCCGACCCGGACCCGGTGTCAAGAAGATCGGGGACGGGAGAGGGCGCGGGTGAGTAGCATGGCCGGAGACGCACCTAGGCGTACCACCACACCCCCGTGCCTACCACCTGCATACCCCTGGTTTACGCCACTCGCCGTATCTATAACCAAATTCATATACTTTGCTCGTCCTCCAAGAATATTTCATAAGAAGGCAAACTGAGGTACGGCAATTGCATAATTAAATTAATGATCTCTCCGACATTATATTTAAATGGCAGTAAAATATACAATAATTCATTTCCTGTTAGATACGTCCTAGGTAAATAACGATAGATGGATTTACCCGTTAATTTTTGAGCGTATGCCAACAGTTGCTCCGCTGAAAAGCATCAAGAATTTAGAAGCCTATTCAGCCTTAGCAGAATCTTCTCCTCAGATGAGTTTAGCAAACATTAGTTTAAGTTTTATAAACTGCGACATATAATATGCGCAGGCTTCATTTGCCGGGTTTCTCGGCGGTAAAACCTTTTTTTATTTGGGCGTTTATTATTACACTTCTGTAGGAGATTTACTTATCTAACTTTAAGAAATCTCGGTTGTGATCGACCGCTGATGATAAGATGCATTAAAAAGCAAACGTTACTTGGGAGGGAAACTGGGACAGAAGAGTACTCACGGGTCAGTTTGAGCAGATTTTCCGTTTCATTACGAAGACGCTTTTCTGAAAGGAGTTTTCAGAGTGCTGAGGTATAGGTCACAAATTTGAGGATAGTGGCCTCTTTGTCCATTAAATATTGTTGCAGTTTGTGCGGGTTTTGAGTTAAGGACATGAAAGTGGGCCGAAGTGCAATTGGTTTTACGAGAAACATGAGTCCAGTGAGAGTTAATTTGTTTAAGTTTGTTTTGAGAAACAGGCCTATCTTCGGGTTCTCATTCACAGACAGCCGATCGCATGGGTTGCCACGATTAAGTGGCGACACCGACTCACCTAATTCCGGATTTCCATCTGAAACCGAAACAAATAGGCAGTTTTCATACATTTACTAGAGACTGGGGATTGCGCTTACTTTATTGCAATTGCAATGACATTTAAGTCTTCGCCTGTGCATGCTCAGTTTGGGGAAGGCAACTGAAAATCGGTTATTCCACAGGGATACTGATGGAAGAGCATTTTTTAAACTATGACAGGCATGTTCACACTGTGGGGGTTTCTTGTCCGAAGCAAATCGAATAAGTCGTAAACGACTGTTTCCCTGTCAGTTCTCGTGACCGTGATTTTAAACTCAATGCACGCGACTCTTTGCATCTCGCCCTTTCCAGAAAACCATGGGAGGCTTAGTTGATTATTTAAACGAGTGCTTCCTAAATATCCGAAAGGGCCCCGACAGTTGATGACCGTATTGGTGGTTAGTTACAAGTTCACAGCCGAGACTGGAAAGTACGTTCCAGAGGTTTGCTGTTCTTGTGCTTTTGGCACTTCGCAACTTCAATCCTGCAGCAATCAGGCATTTTTACAAAAAGAGACAAAAACCACGGACTGGCTTTCGATCCTGACAGTTAGCAAGGGCAGTTCGCATAAATATACAAGACGGCGCAGAATGAATAACTACTGCAGGATTGCGTCCGAAGCGGATGCTATTCAGACAGTCCACGGACATTTTAAATATGTTCAGTAGATGTACTAACTCATGAAATGTTGACCTAAATTTTGAAATGTGTTATCGACTCGAAAAGATTACTTAAGTAGGTTGTAATAATAATCACCGTGCAGCATAATTCAGTAATAATTCAGTTACTTCAGAATGCCGGCTTTTAAAGGAACTTCTCTCCGGCCGCTTGCGAAAAAAGACACGGTAAAAAAATGACTACTTAAGTAGCATGCATTTTTCTCATTGATTTTCAATACCTCCAAAAATTCAGATATATCTAATGGAAAAAAAGTTGTGAAAATAGCCACTTTTTCTCTCAGTTGGTGGAAAATTACGTCTTCTTTCAAATTTTATTTTCGAAAAAAGGATATAATTTGGTTTTGAAAACTTTTTCATTTTCCAAAAATTTTGAATCCGACCTGTCTTTACACTTGCATTCAGGGTTTCCAAACTACAAGCTGTATATTTTCGTGTATAGAAAATCACACATTTCTCTGCGGTATTAAGGGGAGACCATATGAGGTTCATAGCATGTGGCAGTGGATTTGAGCCTTATTGCAAACTTTACAAGCCACGTTATCAACTGCGGCGGCACGATGTTTTATGAGGAGGCACTTCACGGCCTTAAAAAATCTCATAATTAGAAACTTTATTGAAACCGAATTAAATCTTTTCTTCAAGTATAAGATTTAAAAATGTTGTCTACCACCAAATGAGCAAAAGTGAATATTTTCACGACTTTTTTCCAATAGATATATCTGAATGTATAGATGCATCGAAAATCAATGAAAAAATCACTATTATTTAAGTAGCCATCTTTTACAGAGCGTAGTTTTTGAGAGCGGCTGGAAAAAAAAGTTATTTTAAAAGCCGGCATCCTGAAGTAACTGAACTATCATGAGATTATGTCTCACGATGGTTAATATCACAACTCTACTCAAAAGTCTTTTCGAATTGAAAAGGCATTTCAGAATTTCGGTTAATATTTCATGATTTTGCACATCTACTCTATTTTTGCTAACTGAAATTCCAGTTGATGACCAAGCTGTGGGCTATTTTGGAATCAAACAAATAGTATCGAATAATGGAAAATTTTAGGGAGAAGGACATGCATCATCAGCCGGTGATGTCTTACTCCTGGGGTACACATTCGAGGTTCGGACCCTTGCCAGTTAGGCATCCAGCAAAGATTTTAGCACTGCACTAACGGGCGTGTGCAGACAAATCCTGCTTTTGGAGAGGGCAATGACTATTCCTCTTCCTTCTGCGTAACTGAATGTCCATAATTCAGAGGTGGGGTTTGTACAAGTTAACGATGGCACTATAGCATTCCTGCACTTTCTGGTAAAATTCATCCACTACATATTACTATTCCTGGCTCAAAGCGGAGGTCAGTAAGGTGGGGGTCAAAAATTGGGTGTTGTACATGCGTTAGCGCGCAGATGCGGAAAAGAGGAAGTTATCAGCCTAAGGTCGACCTGCGTTGTGAGCAGTTATCAACACTCCTTGTATCTGGTTTCAGATAACGCAAGTTGTGGGTCAATATGAATGAGTTATTAGGAAGCGTTAGTACAGTGCAGAATTAACTAAAGTGCTTCTTAATTAGATTAAAGAGGGAAATACTACCTGCCAGCTCAGAAAGTTTTTGGAGACTTACCTGAAGATTATTCTCTGAAATAAATTGAAGGAATGAAAATCGGAACAACGCAAACGTAACAGAAATTAAGCGCTGCTGTGACTTGGAAACTATTCACATTGGAGAACCTGATATCCAATACTTAAATACTTTTCTGATGTGAAGGACGTCTTCGAGGTAGGCTGCCTTCCTCTAAGTTCAGTTTTTCCGTAGGATTTTTTTGAAGGCAACAAAAATCACCACTTTTATGTTTTATTGACTGGAGGCAAATATCAAAAAATGACAGCCTTCGTGCCAAATGTCATTTCGAAGAATGGGTTTTCGTTTCCGGCCATCCTGACTTACTGATATCACCAGTTGAAGCTGAAAAAAACGGAAAGTATAGGCTTTCACTTCAGAAACTGGTGATTCGGACAAGAAGCATAACTTATTGGAATACCGTTATGCTCGAGGGCAGGTGAAAACAAGTCTTTTTGGAGGCCGGGACAGTATTTACTTTTGGTTAGTCCATCAGCATGGTCATTACTGAGAATATAACCAGCTAACTATAAGGCATCAAGTTTATTTTTCTCATTAAGATTAAATATCCTCGTATTATATGAATAATTATCGAACAGATACCTTATTCTCTGTCCAGCATTAATTGTGTAAGCTGCACTTTACGATGTAGAAGAGCATGCTCAGAGCAAAGTTGCAGGCAAAGGATACTCACGTATGTTTTCAGACAATTTCTTGAATATGGAGTCCAGCTGGTCTCCTGCTATGAATTATCGAAAAATGAATGTGTAAAAATACAACGCAAGATAAGCGTACACTATCGTACACCAGTAGTCGTTATTGGGAGGGGGGAGTACTTGACATCTGGGGTTTAAATTGCATCCAAACTGGGGCAGGCATTAGATTACAAAATTAAGCCAACTGTCTAAGATTGCCGAATCACAAAATATTTACTTTAGAAGCCACTTTAAGCGTCATTATACTTAACCTAAAGGTCAGAAAATTTGCCTGATTTCTATGTTTTTTCAACTTACCTATTTGGGCCCGTGCCACTAAGGGTATAAGAGTCAAAACTCTTAAGGTCGACTTCAACAAACAGGGTTAATGTAATGAAAAGCAACTAATTCCAAAAGCGCGTGTCATCTGTAGATTTATGCATTTTTTAACAAAAGTACCAGTGTGCTAGGAATGATCTCTGAAAATTATCAGCCAGCGATGCTTTCTCAAATTATATCGATGATTGCGGCTCGACTGGGCGTTCCTAATCCATGAGCCTCCGAGTAGCAAATTTTATTGGATGTTTTATTTCCTGTCCGACATTAAATAATTTGTCCGATTTGAAATTGTCGGTTCTCTTTGATTGACCTGCTTACTGACGACTTCCGATGTATGAATTAAAATATTTATACAATTCGCTTAAGTAAATGGCTCTAGTAGATTGCAATTAGTGCTTATGGGCACTTTTTGAATGCCAACATGGGCGTACCCATTGAAGCTTAGTGTTAAAATTGAAATTTAAAGACATTTTCCATCTCCCCGTCTTGCTTTTATAGCATTACTGATAATTGAATTTTAAGGGAAAAAATAAATATGGACTTTTGCGTCAGGCTTGAAAATCAAATTAGCATGGAAGTTTGGAAATTTTGCTAGAAACACGCATAAACACGTAAATTAGTGCATTTTGGGTTATGAATGTAGTCTTAAGTCCAGGCATAGAATTTCTTTTATCGGTAACTGTCTTGCATACGGGATCAATTTAAGTGACTTGATGGTATATACTAAAATTCAAAAACAATTATGAATTTCAATGCACTTATTATAAGGAATTCTATTATTTTCTGTGGATTTCCTTTACATTTTTGCCCAAGTGCACCTCCCGCCTACTTTTAAGCTTGCATTCGAACCAAAAGGGATCAATAAGTTTTCATCGATTAACACTTCAAATTTAACTTGCCTGGTCCCAAAAGAAGAGCTAAAAGTACATAAAAGATGAAGAGAAGACGAAATGTCTGGGATATGTCCTGCTATGTTATGATGTCGTAGTCCTTTTCGCGAGGAAGGTGACATAGCGGTTGTTTGAAAATCTCGGCCATCGTTAAAATACTACTTTAGTGCTTAGAAGCAACCGAAATATTTCAAGCAGCACCCTGGCTATCGTATGTGTTATTGTGTTTTACCGCAAACACGTTCTTCCTGATCCGTCTAGTGCGATACTCGATTCTACGGCCTAATGAAAGCACAACGGAAACGCATACCTGTTAAGAACATGTCTGCAATGCGCGCAATATTCAGGGTGATGACCGACAAGCCTGTTAGCAGTGCCTGTTAACATTTACACGTCCACAGACCAAATCTCCCGATTTCTAGTTCGCTGCTTCACTATGACTTTCCAATAGTGAAAAAGGCTAAATAATAGTGCAGTCCAAACCTAATTTTTGCATTTCCCTCGAAATAACCGCTTTCTTCGTCCTAACGACGCGTGACTGTCCTACAAACAGGGTGGACTGCCACCTATTGTCTGGCGCGCACTTTGAAAATTCACTCGCCTGCACAGACTGTTATTCAGTGCGTTAGCAACCTTCCGCCATACGTCCCTAGAAATATTTTTTCAGAGTAAATATCTTCTGGTCTTATAACTCCGTTTTTGTAAGAAAAGCCCATGCTGCAAACACTAGTGGACACACATTGGGTGACCGATTTCATAAAATGCTGGCCGAAACTCTGAAATGTTTTTTTCGATTAGGAAGAATTACTTAGGTGGGGTATTAATACTGATTTTCTTACGACATAATCCCATAAAATTTCGGATTCGGCAGACTGTCGGCTTTTGAATGCCTTTGTTTTCAATCTCCTGTAGAAACCGTACTCGGCAAAAAGTGACTAGTTAAGCAGCATGCATTTTTCCCGTTGATTTTTGATATTCTCATAAATTCAAATATCTTTTATATAAAACATGAGATAAAATATGCTTTTTTTCAGTCGTTTGATAGATAATCACGCCACCTTTATATTGGATATTTGAAGAAAAAGTAGAATTAGGTTTTAAAAAGTTTCTAATTATGAGACTTTTTAAGACCGTGCAATGTCCATTCACACAGCATCGTACTTGTCCGTTTACCATTGATCTTGATGAAATGTACAACATAGTCCGCATCCATTGCAAAATTTTATGGACTCTATATGTGGTATCTTTTCAAAGGCATAGAAGAATATATGATTTCCCATATACGGAACTCATGCACCTTGCAGGCTGAAATCACTAAGCGCTAATGCAACGGTGGATCAGACCCCAAATTATTCGGGAATCAGAAAATCTTTTTAAAACCTAATTATACCCCTTCTTCAAGTATATAATAAAAAGATGACGTGATTCTCTATCAAATTAGTAAAGGAATGTATTTATCCAGGGTTTCCATGAAACATATTGGAATGTGCAATACCATCGCAAATCAATGGGAACTATACACACTACTTAAGCAGGCATTCTTGACCGCGTACGGTTTCTGCAGGAGGTCGAAAAGAAGTACATTCAAAAGCTGACATCCTGTCGAGTCTGAAATGTTATAAGATTATGCACAAGATAATAAATGTTACAATCGTGCCTAAGTAATCCTTCCTAATAGAAAACGCATTTCAGAATTTCGGTCAACATTTCATGAGATCGGTCACGCACTGTATATTAAAACAGGCATATGGCGTAAATACTTTTTCTGATTAGTTAAATGAATATCTCCGTATCATCCGTTTCTCTGGAAGGCCCCAACCGTAAAGCCCCCTTTACCACCACTCCCATATTAGAGGTGGTGGCACATCCATCCACATCCTACCCGTTCCGAGACGATACAGTACGTAAATGTCCGGTTCAAATAATGTTTAGAAAGTTATTATCTGCAAATGAGCCGCTCGGAAACTGCGTTTTTTGATGTACTGTCAACCATTGTTGGTGACGATGTACTTAAGACTGGTACGCGATTCAGCCCATTCTAAACGTGACATGGGCTTAGCATGAGCTAAATGAGGGCCTTAATTTATAATTATCATCTTGTCAGTCGTCATTCGTACCGTCTCATAAACTGATTGCCGTTCGTCACTGTTTTTTACTAGTAGTAATTTCTGCCGTCGCAAACGACTATGTCCACCGTTGATCCCACAGTATGGTGGGCACAGGGACAATGACTTGCGCGTGAAGGGGTCTGTGTGATAGCAGACCTGCTAACCTGTGATACACACTCTATCCTCCCCCACCCTCTTGTGGTCGTTGTTGAAACAGGGTCAGGGGGTGGGGGTGGGATCGGGCACAGTGGCTGGCGAAGCCAGACAGCCCATCTACGCTCGACTCGCTCAAGATTTACCAAGTTTTCACAGAAACGCGAAGAGTTCCACCTGGATCCTCTCCGAGAAGAGGTGTTATCTTACAGTAGGTGGGCTAACTCATGAAATATCAACCGAAATTCCGAAATCCGTTTTCGTTTCGAAAAGATTAATTAAGTGGGGCTGTAAAACTAGTCCGCCTGCAACATAATTCTGAAATATTTCTGTTACCTCCGGATGTCGGCTTTCGAATGAACTTACTTCCAGCTGCATGCAAAAACCACACTCTGCAAAAAATGAATACTTATGTTGCCTGCATTTTTCTCATTGATTTTCAATGTCCTAAAAATACAATTATATTTCATGGAAAACATACACAAAAATATTCATTCTTTTGCTCATTCGGTAGATAAGTACGCCTTCTTCTAATTTTATATCCGCATCCATTGCGAAATTTTATGAACTGTATACGGTGCTTTTTAAAGGCACAGAAGAATATATGAATTACCATACACGGAACGCATTTACCTTGTAAACTGAAATCAATAAGCAGTAATCTAACGGCTGATCAGGCCTAAAATTATTCGAGAATCAGAAAACTTTCAAAAACCTAATTATACCTCTTTTTCAAGTATACAATATAAAGGTGGAGTGATTCTCTATCAAATGAGTAAAAGAAAGCACTTTTCCATGTTTTTTATGAGTTCTATTTGAATTTATAAGACCATCGAAAATCAATTGGAAAAATGCATGCTATTAAGTAGACGTTCTTTACCGAGTACGGTTTCTACAGCAGGTCGAAAAGAACTGCCCTCAAAAGTCGAAATCCTGCCAAGTCTGAAATTTTATAGGATTATGCCGCAGATAATCAGTACTACAAATCCACCTAGGTAATCCTTCCTAATCGAAAACACATTTCAGAATTTCGGCCAGCATTTCATGAGATCGGTCAGACACTGGAGAGCCAAGTGAGAAGTACGAGTAATGCATCAACAGGAAAATAAGTGTTAAACATATCGTCTCAGATATTTTGACTATGCGATAATTTCGTTAGATGCAGCCGCAAATCGTGGATATCGAGCATTTACCTGCAAGGATGAAAGTTGGGATGAGTTTCAAATGTCTTCCCATTTCTTTGGCACTTATGTATATCTTGTATAAGTTCAATGGTTAAACAATCTTTACGAGATTAGAATGTATGTATATATATGCACATACAGCAGCACGAAATCGGCAGACCGACCAATGAAAATAACTGATACCGTTGCGCCACCTGTATTCAGCACTCGTCAATGAGTGCGGAAAATTTTCAGCAATCTAATGTCTGTTTTGGAAGAAGAGACAAAACATTTCTCAGCTTGTCGATAACAAATCTGAGCTCATACACTTTCACACTTCACGGTTGCGTGGTCTTAGTCATCAAGGAATAGACTATTTCAATGAAACTGCTGTTATTTGTCGTCTTCTCGGCTCAATTTTAGCTCATAGTAGCGTTTACCTTTTCATATTCGGTTGTGAGATTTTGAAAGCAGGTTTCCGTTTACGACTCATTCAACTGACCAACGAGGCAGTTGTTCTTCAAACGCACACCTAGGTGTTAGTAAGCTGACCGCTGCGAAGGTCGAGAGTTCTTTTCCTGGCTAAGATCGGCTTAAAAATCGATTAAAATAGAGATAAGTGTGGAAATGTAAACGTAATAACTTACAGTAGGTTTGCTAACTCATGAATGGTCAACCGAACTTCCGAAATGCGTTTTCGTTTTGAAAAGAATAATTAAGTAGTGTTGTAAAACTAGTGGGCTCGCAAAATAATTCTATAATATTTCAGTTACCTCAGGATGCCGGCTTTCGAGTGAACTTCCTTTCGGCTGCGTGCAAAAACGACACTCTGTAAAAAACGACTACTTGAGTAGTATGAATTTTTATCATTGATTTTCGATGCCCCTAAAAGTCTAATTATATTTCATGGCAAACATACAAAAAATATTCATTCTCTCGCTCATTTAGTAGACCATTACGTCTTCTTCCAGTCCTATACTCGAAGGAAGGGTATAATTCGGTCTTCAAAGCCTTTTCCAATTCCCGAATAATTTTGGACCCGCTCTAGCGTTACACTTGGATTCAGGGTTTCCAAACTACAAGCCATATATTTTCTGCTTACGGAATACCACACATTTCTCTGCGGTAATAAAGGGGGATCATATAGGGTTCATAAAATTAAGCAATGGATTTGATCCATATTAGTAACTTTGCAAGTCACATTGGTAAATGCAGAGACATGACGATTTATGATCGTCAACTTCACGATAGTTAAAAGTCCCACAATTGGAAACTTTTTTTAAAAATCTATGTATGTCCCTCCTTCGAGTATAAAATTAGAAGACGTAATTGTCTACCGAATGAGCAAAAGAATGAATATTTTTATGCATGTTTGCCATGAAATGTAATTGGACTTTTAGGAGCATCGAAAATCAATGATAAAAATTCATACTACTCAAGTAGTCGTTTTTTACAGAGTGTTGTTTTTGGCATGCAGCCGAAAGGAAGTTCACTCGAAAGCCGGCATCCTGAGGTAACTGAAATATTATAGAATTATGTTGCGAGCTGACTAGTTTTACAACCCTGCCTAATTAATCTTTTCGAAACGAAAACGCATTTCGGAATTTCGGTTGACCTTTCATGAGTTAGCCCACCTACTGTACGTTTCCACAAGTTCGATGGGGTCCAGATGCAATTTTTGACAATATGTATGTATTTTAAAGACAGAAGGCTCTTTGAGAAAGGTAAGATCTTTATTAGTAAATTTTTGACATCAGATCCCCAGGTCGTCCTCAGACTTGAGTAAATGTGCAAAAATCGTCAACCTTTCAAACATGCCCAAAACTCAGTACCTCTGCAGAAGATGGAAGTCGTCCACAAGATCCATGCGAGGCGTGCGATGCCGTATATTGTGGATAAACTGAAAGTCCGCCTCCACACACATCCACAAACATCAGTTAGTTGTTTAGACGTGATAGCACTTATCTCAAATGGCCATGCACACATTAGATACTGGGCGTACTTTTACGTGGGACAAAACTCGCATCGTCGGCGTCTACCCTATCAAAAAAAACCCTGAATTTCTTGAAGCCATGCACTCAGGTGAGTCATGCACTAATAGGCCTATTGAGTCAGATGCCATATACAAAAATTTCAGGGGAAAGCAGGAGAGACGGGAACCAATCGATACCCAATAGCGTTTGTGGTGGGCGCCCACTGGCAGAAACGTCGGAGAGGTACTGACTGAAGGCAAGTTTGAAATGTTGACTATTTTTTGCACATTTCCACAATTCTGGTGACGACTCGGGGAACCGACGTCGAAAGTATACTAATAAAGTTCATAGCCTCCCCAGAGAACCTTCTATCTTCAACTTATATTTCTTGGGATGTCTGCCTTTCGATTTATATATACAACGCAATGTACATTCATACAGCATCGCACCTGTCTGTTTACCATTGCTACTCATGAAATGTACAACATAGTCTGCACTCACCGCAAAATCTCATGAACTCTAGATGGTATCTTCTCAAAGGCATAGAGGAATAAATTATTTTCCTTACACGGAAAAGATGCGCCTTGTAGAATGAAATAGCCAAACGCTAATGCGACTAATGATCTGGCCTAAAATTATTTGGGAATCGGAAAACTTTTTTAAAACTTAAATATGTCTTGTCTTCAAACACAAAATCCAAAGTCGACGTAATTTGCAACCGAATGAGCAGAAGAAAGCATGTTTGTGTGCATGTTTTCTATGAAATATATTTGAATTTACAAGACCGTCGAACATCAATGCGAGAAATGCATGCTACATAAGTAGTCATTTTTTACCGAGTGTGGGCTCTGTAGGAGATCGAAAAGAATTGCATCCAAAAGCCGACATCCTAGCGAGTCCGAAATATTATTGGATTATGCCGCACGATAATCAGAATTACTACCCCACCTAAGTAATCCTTCTAAATCGAAAACGCATCTCAGAATTCCGGCCAACATTTCATGAGATCGGTCACTCACTGTACATATGCAAGATGCAATCTTTAAACGCCTTGCTATCGGCAGTATGAATGCTTTTCTGCCTGAAGAACAATTCAATGAAGCTACTTCATCACGTTTTCAGTAATGCCAATCCAACCAGACTTGAAAAAATACACTAAGCTCTGATGTCCGGTACATATATTTGAGTACACAGACCAACGGGGCAGAGGGCTGCAAAAAAAGACAAGTATAATATCTCTGTATCATATACTTTATGACTTCGACCGTCGCATCCGACGATGTCCACCGTGTGCTCCACAATAAGCTGAAGCAGGCATGGTGACTTGCGCGTGGATTTGTTTATAGTGAGTGTGGACCTGCGCTGCATTTACCGCACTCTCTCCTACTCCTCCCCCACCCGGACCTTATGCCAAGACCGAGGCAAGAAGACAGGAGGCGGCGGAGGGGCGGCGGTGGATGGCGCGGCCGAACCCGCACCTTGGGGCTCCACACCTCCTGGTCTACACAACAAATGACCAGGATTTAGTAAGACCTTATTTCGTAGCCGCGCCTGTTAGGGGTTAGTGTTGGGGGTTGGGTTCAGGGGTTACGGTTAGGAGTTAGGGTTAGAGTTAGGGGTTAGTGTTAAACCCCCCTTTTACCACCGGTCCCGTATCACAGGCGGCTGGGGCTTGTGTACTGCAGGTGCCGCTACGAAATAAGATCCGACCCAGTATTTTTGCCAACGACAACAACACCACGACGGGCCAGAAGGAGGAGGAGGAGGATGAACAGGCAGCCATGCTCACGACCTGTATACAAGGCGGGAGCGCAAGCTCATCTGCCGGCAGGGAACCGAGTGTCAGAGAGATGCCAGCGCGCACCAGGCTGCAAGGGTCATGGTTTGCTAATCCTGACATAGCAGACGCTTACAGACCTTTAGGCCAATCGTTGCATCCACTGATGAGCCGAACCCCTTGCAGCTGTGTCCTGCAGCAGCAGAATATCGGCGAAGCCCACGTGTCCGCGCTTTTAACCAGTACCACTGCCGTCAGTATGGTAAATCATACAACAAACAAATGTCTTGTTCTGGCGATCGTATCTTATTCTTCTGAAATGCCTCCTGGAGCTTGCAGCCCCACCTGTAAACGGCAGTCAAGTTTTGGTTGAAAGGGCGACAGTGTTCTATCGCACCGTGGCACCGTGGATATTAGGGCAATTAACGACTCGGATGTGAGTGATCAAACCATCATCAGACCAATTAAGACCACCGACGGTGAATGCGGGAACTGATAATTATAGTAGGAATGCGGTAGCATAGCAATCGCACCCTTGTCTGTGACTCTGCTGCTGAATTCGAATGAGAATCCGAGACGCCAACATTCAGACTGAGCCCACAAGGCTTCATTCCAACTAATTTGCTTCAAGTTAGCCATGAAGTTCTGAGGAGATGAAAAAGCCAAAATCTCAAAACTGGATTATCTACCAGAAATTCGACTGATAAGCTAAACCTCTAGCAGCTGTGTCACGTAGGGGCAAAAAGTCGGTGAAACACGTAGCTGGGTTTTTAGCTAGTACCTGTGCTGTCAGTATGGTGAACCATGCGATATTTGGGCACTGCTGACTACCTGTTGATAATTTATTACTTACGGGGTTGTCCCGCTACAGTTGATTGATTTCGGCTCAACTTTCGAGCTGAACCTATGAAGTTCCATGTTGAAGGCTTTACTCAAGGCTCGCGCGTTAATTTTTGAGGAAACTAAAAAAGCCAACATTTCAAAACTGGAGTGTCTGCGAGAAAACACACGGAAAACGCCGGGAGAACCGACAGTCGACCGTCATTGTCGACGATGTCCACCCTGTGCTTCACACGGTGGTGGAGCAGGTACGGTGACTTAAGGTTATAATGAATGTACACTTGCACAGTATCTTTCGCACCCTCTCCTCCCCCCCCCACCCATCTGGGCCCGGTGTCAGGACAAAGTCAAGTTGACCGGAGACATGGGTGGGTGCGCGTGGATGGCGCGGCCGAACCCGCAGTTCAACGCTCCACTCCATGCCTCCTGGTCCACTCAACAATTCACCAGGATTTTAACCAACAACAGCACCACAATGGGTCAGAAAGAGGAGGATGACTGGGCAGCCGTGCTCACGACCTGTATACCCAGCAGGAGTGCAAACGCATCTGCCGGCAGGGAACCAGGTGTCAGAGAACTGCCAGCGCCTACTAGGCTGCGAGGGTCATGGTTTGCTAATCCTGACATAGCAGACGCTTACAGACCTTTAGGCCAACCGTGGCACTCACTGATGTGCCGAACTCTTTGCAGCGGCAGAATATCGGCGAAGCCCAATTGTCTGTACTTTTAACCAGTACCTGTGCCGTCAGTATGGTAAATCATACAACAAATAAATGTCCTGTTCTGGCGATCGTATCTTTTTCTTCTGAAATGCCTCCTGGAACTTGCATCTCCACCTGTAAACGGCAGTCAAGTTTTGGTTGAAAGGACGAAACTGTTTTATCAGAGGGCTGTTTGGGATTTAAATTTTCTGTGGACCTCCACGTCCGCCTGCGTAACTGGCCAAACGTAATGGTTTGAAGCGCTGTTTGTGGAAGAGAAGGGATTGGACACCTACCTTGGCCTTATTTAGAAGTTCAATGAGGGCGGCACTGGCCTCATCGATGCAAGGTGACGAGTAGAACTCGCCCTCTTCCTGAGTAAGGAGCTTGAACCACCCACTGACTGGGGCCTTCTTCAGCTCACCGACGCCGAAGGAGAGCGAACCCATGAAGTCATTTCGGGAGGTGCGGTCCCAGTCCCAGACTTCAATGGAGAGTCGTTTACCCGTGTCCTCCGGGTCCAGGGCACTGCAGCAAAAAAATTAGTGGCTAAGTAGCAGTACATACTACTGAAATGCGTATGGATGGCAAAAGAGTGTTTGTCAGCTGGTTTCCTGTAACGCGCATGAGTAAAAGGATGGGGGGGGCTTCCGACTGATGTGTAAAAACAACTCGAGGGAAACATTTCCGGGACGCGAGCTTCACTGGGCCCCTTGGATTCCATGCTGCGGATGGATTTCTAATAATTTGGACTGCTTGCAAATTAGATGACCCAGAAGAATGTTCTACTCTTGTGTTATTTTATTCATATTATTCGCATTCAAAGTGCCTTCAATGCATGGGCACTTGACATACTAGTAGCTAAGAGAGGTTTAAATGCATTTCACCCTGCCGGAAACGTACTAAAACCATTCCCTGATAATCCGCTTTATTCGATTCACAGCTAAGGGCGGCTAACGAAGTTGTTTACGCACTCTGGTTCGCTCGTTAGGCGACAGTCAGAGGTACTATGACGGTGATGAGTCAGCTGCTGTGTTCCATAACATTAGTATTTGAAGGTAAGTAGTCTTGTCCCACCACGCGAGAGACTGCGACTAATTCTGCGTCACGTTTCCTCCGCGCGAACCTATACTGCTGACTACCTGCTGATAATTTATTACTTACGTGGTTGTCCTACTGCAGTTGATTGATTTCGGCTCAAACATTCATATCAACTCTGGAGCTGAACCTATAAAGTTCCATGTTGAAGGATTTACTCAAGGCGCGCACATTAATTTTTGCGGAGACTAAAAGAGCAAACATTTCAAAACTAGAGTGTCTGCGAGAAAGCTCACAGAAAACGCCAGGGGAACCGACGGTTCGACCGTCATTGTCGACGATGTCTACCCTGCACTTCACAGTTAGGGGAAGCCGGTACGGTGACTTGCGCGTGATTAACTTTATAATGAATGCAGACTTGCGCAGTATCTTTCGCACTCTCTCCTCCCCCCTCCCATCTGGTCCCGGTGTCAAGACAAAGTCAAGAAGACCAGAGACAAGAGTGGCTGCGGGTGGATGGCGCGGCCGAGCCCGCAACCCAACGCTCCACTTCACGCCTCCTGGTCCACACAACAATTGACCAGGATTTTAACTAACAACAGCACTACAATGGGTCAGAAAAGCGAGGATGGCTGAACAGCTGTACTCACGACCTGTATACCCAACGGGAGCGCAAGCGCATTTACCTGCAGGGAACCGGCTGTCGGAGAACTGCCAGCGCATGACAGGCTGCGAGTGTCATGGTTTGCTGATCCTGGCATAGCAGACGCTTACAGACCCTTAGGCCTAGAAGGGTGACACGTGACCCTGCATTTGCCTGGCTCGTCACCCTCCGAGGCTGGGTAACCAAACGGTCGTCAGCTGAGAGGCACTACCCATAAAGCGCACACACACTCTCCTCACGTGTGTGAGAGTGTCACAAAGACGGAGCCGTGGCGGTCTGGCTCTCTGCCCACCAGCCCGCCACTCCACACAAACAGACACACAACTGGGCAGACTGCGTCGACTTAGTTGGGGCGTCAATCGGCAGCCTTTCATGCCAGGGCATTGGTGCACGGTAATAGTCTCAGACTCGGATCATACATGCAGTAGAGGACTCGCATGCAGTAGGAGCCCAGAGAAGCACACTTCCCACTTGCGTAGGAGGTGGCATTTGGGTGCCCGTGATGGGTGATTGGGTTGGGAAGTGCGGGTGCTAGTGGGGGAAAGTGTGGTGGTAAGGTGTAGCCAGCGGTTGTCTGTCGCAGGTTTTTGTGAATGCGCATATGTCCTAGTAGGCTCATGCGGCGAGGGAATGTGTGGGGACAGTGAGGGCAGTGGACGCGGATAGGGCGAGTGTATGTAGGTGCTCCAGCACTGGTTTGCCAGTCTCTGCACGATGGATTCGCAAGTGACAGACCAGGCCGATGTGTGGGCTAAAAGTGCGATCGCAATGAGGACAGATGTGAACCGAGTCCCCATCGCTGGAGGTGGGGGTGTTGCTGATGTTTGATGTTGATGAGACGTTGGACGTCGTTCCATCGGTAGGAGGAGTACCTGAAGACGTGGTGGTGTTGATTCTGGCCGAGGGCGCTTGTTCCCGTGGTTGTCGGTGCGACCGCTATCCCGTGCTGCCGTCCGTCAATCACTGCGTGCGCGCGATTGACGCAGACTTCGTTCCGAGGACGCCATGACGCCGATCGATATTTTTGTCCAATCACACAAAGCTCAGGAGCAGGCGGAGTTAGCGCCTCGGCCAACTACTTAAACGGACGTCATGGTTGGTGCGAAGACACCCAGGCACCACCTACTAAGCCGCGTATACGCTCCCTGTCGCAGTAAAGTTTTTCTAGTCAACTCCGTCTTCCCTGACTTTTGAGTTGTTAAATCAAGAGTTGTCAGCCTTTGTGCCTTGACAGAAACATGGAGCGTAGTCTTCGTAGTAATTCCATGAAGATCAATGTGCTGCTTGATAGAAATGACAGCTTAAAATACGGCCGAGTTGTTCGTCGTTCTATCTTTAGAGCTTCTGCTTGGCGTGGCCACTCCTCAATTGCCCAGCGTGTTTTCTTATCTTCCCAACGAGAAAGTCCGTCTTCTATCATCATCCGGTTTTCATGCGCTCCCACATATCCTTGCTGTTTGTTTTGCAAAATTCTATTAAGCATGGCTGGCCGATGACGGCTAATAAGCCAGAAATGTCCATCCCAGTCTCCCTTATTTTCATCGGTACTGTTATCCTGCGCCTGTTTACGATTAGCCGCTGTGCGGCAGCTGGCGAAACTGCAGATTGCCTCCCAAGGCACAAAACGGGACGAATGGAAGCGAGCGTAGCCAATGTCGAGGGGATGACGAAAAACATTGACGCGCATATGTGCAGGCTTCGGCCAATCATAGACTCACTTGTTCGACACGGTTAAATAGTTAACCGTTTCTGTACATAGCCCAAAAGTCTGACGACGAGCTGGGGAACCAGTCTCGAAAATTTACGCATTAAAGTTTATTCTCTTCCCAAAGCATCTTAGTTATTTTCAATACATATATATGCAGGTGGGATCTTTAAAAACCTTGCTATCGGCAGTATGAATGCTTTTCTGCCTAGAGAAAAATTCAAAGAAGCTAATTTACCTTGCTCTCAATAAAGCAAATCCGACCAGACTTGATCCATTACACTAAGCACTGATGTCCGGCGTGAGTACACAAACAGACATAGTCAAGAAGACCGGAGACGGGCGAGGGTGCAGGCAACTGGCACGGCTGGACCCACACCTAGGCGTAACACCACACTCCCTGGTCCACAACAAACATTTTACCAGGATGTTAACCGACAACAAAAGCACCGCAGCGGGTCAGAAAGAGGAGGATTACTGAGCAGCCGTGCTCACAGCCTGTATACCCAACTGGAGCGCAAGTGCACCTACCGGTAGGGAACCGGATGTCGGAGAACTTACAGTGCATAACAGGCTGCGAGTTCCATGGTTTGCTGACCCCGACACACACGCTTACAGACATTTTGGCCCGTGGCTTGTATTCGCTTGGGTCATCACTCTTGAAAGCTGGGTAACAAAACAGTCGTCAGCTGAGAGGCACTACCCATAAAGCGCACACACACTCTCCTCACATGCGCGAGAGTGTCACAAAGCAGTTATGACGGAGCCGTGACAGTCTGGCTCTCAGCCCACCCGTCCGCCACTCCACACAAATACACTAAACTGCGTGGACTGCGTTGGGACGTCAGCCGGCAACCTTCCAAGCCACGGCACTGGCACTCCCTGATAGTCTCAGAATCGGATCACACATGCAGCCGCATGGAGAAGGAGCCGAGAAGCTCACTTACCACTTGCGTGGGAGGTGACAACTGGGTGCTTGTGATGGGTGGTGCTGTTGAAAGGTGCGGGCGCTGGTGAGGGAAAGTGTGGTGTGGTGTAGTATAGCCATTGGTTGTCTACCGCAGGTTTTCGTGAGTGCGCATGTTCTAGTAGGCCCATGCGGTGAATGAATGTGTGAGTACAGTTAGGGCAGTGAAGGCAGATGCGGTGAGTGTACGTGGGTGCTCCAGCACTGGTTCGCCAGTCTTTGCGCGATGGGTTCGCAAGTGACCGACCAGGCCGATGAGTGCATATGTGCGATCGCAAGGAGGACAGGTATGAACAGAGTCCTCATCGTTGGATGTGGGGATGTTGGTGATGTTTGAAGTTGATGAGACGTCGGACGTCGTCCCATCGGTAAGAGGAGTGCTTGAAGACGTGGTGGTGGTGATGGTGCTGGCCGCAGACGCGCCTCATTCCCGCTGCCTACAAGGCTGCTCGTTCCTGTGTTTGCCAGCGTGGCTGCTTCCCCATGCTGCCGTCAGTCAATCACTGCGTGCGCGTTTGACGCAGCCTTCGGCCCGCGGACGCCATGGCGTCAATCGATATTTTTTGCCCAATCACAAAAAGCTCATGCGCAGGCACATTTCGCGCCCGAGCCAACTACTTAAATGGACGGCATGGTTGGGGCGAAGAATCCCTGGCACTGCCTATTAGGCCGCGTGTACGCCCCCTGTCGCAGTCAAGTTTGTCCAGTCAACTCTGTCTTCTCTGACATTCGAGTTGTGAAATCAAGAGTTGTCGGCCTTTGTGCCTCGACAGAAACATGGAGCGTAGTCTTCGTAGTAATTCCATGAAGATCAGTGTGCCACTCGATAGAAATGGCAGCTTAAAATCCGGCCCGAGTTGTTCGTCGTTCTATATTTAGAGCTTCTGCTTGGCGTGGCCGCTCCTCAATTGCCTAACGTGGTGTCTTGTCCTTCCAAGAAGAAAGTCCGTCTTCTATCACCATCCGGTGTTCATGCGCTCCCACATATCCTTCCTGTTTGTTTTGCTAAGTTTCATTGGGTATGGCTGTCTGATGGCGACTAATAAGCCAGAAATGTCCATCCCAGTCTCCCTAATTTTCATCGGTTATGTTGTCCTGCGTATGTGTACGATTAGCCGCTGTGTGGCTGCTGCCGAAACTGGAGATTGCGTCCCAAGGCACAAAACGGGACGAGTGTGTCCCGTGTTGTGCTCGGTGAGCGTCCCTTTACCATTGTGTATACCTGACCGCAAATGACCGGACAACGAGCCTGTGAGTCGATGGTTAGGAAGTTTAATTTCTAGCCAGCAGGTTGCGGGATCGAGCTTCAGGGGTTGCAAAAACCTGGGGTTGGGCATGGCTAACTGAGGACGGCTATTAAGTCAGAAATGGCCACTCCAATCCTCCTTGTTTTTGTCGCCAATTTAAGGCCGTCTATATGTACTACTAATAACTGTGCGAGACTCGAGACTGAGCCCCAAGACACAAAGAGGGACAACTGCCCCCCCCCCTCATGATTGCTGAGCAACCACTCCACCGTTTCATCTACTGCCATTTCAAATTTAAACATATCTTCTCTGTGCAGACACTTATTGTAGGCAACCATTCCCAGAAGACTCGTCTGTATTTAAAGCACTACGTTCCACTTTCAGGATTCCACTCTAGGAGCATTTGAACGAAAACGCACGAACGAACGATAAAGCAGATGCATTTATGGACGTTCCACTAATGGTAACGGATATGCTTTTGGTCTTTTTTCTATCTCCCGAACGGAGAACGACAGTGCATGCAGACTTATTGAAAACTTCTCCAGCATTTTATCCTCCCATACAGAACTTCTTGAGTAGAGAAGTAAAACTCCACCAAACGCTGTGCAACGCAAAGAGTTCGGCAGACTTCGTTGAATACAACGGCACGCGTTAAGCCGACTGGTGTAGAAGGTATTTACGCTGAGTTGGAAGGGGTCATACCAGTCAGGACAACGGACAAAAAATTTTTTCCTCCACCTTGATTCACTGTTCATGCAACAGCTTGCTTAATGAACATCTAATTCCGAATTATACTTTGTAAGTACACAGCTTTCACTTCTCCTACAGACGTACTCAACCTAATAATACGTTTACGCACAGTTGGCGAGGCGCCCCTGCCAGCACCAGCCCTGCCTATCCCCGCCTGGCCCCATCAATAATGGCGGGGCTAGAGGGGGCCATGAGGGGGCTAGGCGGGACTGTGGAGGGGGCTGTGGCGGGGCATGCAACGCGATAGCCCCGCCTGGCCCCGCCAGCGAAAAAAAATGCGCAGGAGAGGCCACATCCCCGCCCACTTTTGGCACCACTTTAAAATATCGTCCCGATTGTCAAATATACGAATTAATAACACACAGAGATTGTAAACCGGTGGACAAATAAGAGTTTACGCAATGAGGGGCTTAAACAAAACCTCAATATATTGTGCTCATCCGCAGCTACATTCAGTGGGCGTAAACGGATGCTTTCTCCATGATTTATAAGCTAATTTTGATAAATTAACTCCTTTTAATTCCAAAGAAGGTACAATAAGTGGTGCTTTTGAAACATATCTTTCGATGCAAATACGCTTAAAAATGCTTCAATGCAGAGGGGGCTCTGGCCCCACCCAGCCCCTTCCAGCCCCGCCTATGAAGGGGCCATATGCTGGCACGGGCATCAGACATTCGCCAAAGCAAACGACTTCTTCGGAATCTGCAAAAAGCGGGCGACCGCAGTTTGTGCCAAGTGGAAAGCTATGTCTGGCGAGTGCAGCAAGCGTTGAAGGACAGTCTGCTGCTTGACGCTTACCCCTGTTTTGGTTGGACGGGGATTCGGACCCCCACTTATCACAGGTGACAGTGCATTAAATTCCTCTGTCCCAACTTTAACCCAAACTCTTATCTCTTCCCCTCCCCGGAATTCGGCGCAAATTCGCCTGTAGTATGTGAACTCACATTTCCGAGCTCTGCTTATCTTTTCCTCACCAAACTTTTCTTCGTTTAAAACTCTCTTTCCACTAATAGCGGCAGGAAGTAGCTACGCAACACTGTGGTGCATAAGTTTGGGCTGAAATTTTCGTCAACGAAGTTGTTGAAAATGTCTGCTCACCTGTTTGAGCGCAATCTTTTGTTCCGTTGAATGATGCCCAATTCCTTGTAGCCCGCCACAAAATATCAATCATTCGCGAGAGCTAATTTATGCTCACAATGGGATGGCGTCCGTCAAAAACAGTGTCGGAAGGTCAGAAGAAGGGCAACTCCTCTGGCCTCGGGTGACTAGGATTGGTTTCTGCAAAATAACGAGGGAGGTACGCGTTTTCCTGTTTCCGTCTGATAGTCTACCAACATTCTGTAAATAGGCTGAAGCTGTAGACAAAGTTAATCCTCTGCCCTGCATAATTTTATCAAATTATGCACTACTACTGTCATTTAAGGATATCACGCCTTTAAATGTACACTGAAGTCGAAAACAGTTGATCGTAAAGAATGTTACGCAGGTAACAGCAGGATTTCTGGTGAATTTTCTATTTCATTTCCTATTAGAGGTAATCTACAATAACTAACCTGACACTCATTTCCCTTGCCATTTTTCTGGAGACGCTATGTTCTCCTGATTTACTATTTGACAGGCCTTCTCTAAAGGGTCAGAATTGAATTATATTGCAATGCCTCCGTGCCCTATGGTTTCAGTCAGTCCCGGAAGCAGGTTACTTTCCGTCTTCATGGCTTTCATCCATCTAGCTGGACTTTTATTTTGATGGTTTGTTAAATGTACAAGTCTTAACCACTTACAGTGGTTCTGATCACCCATCGACGGTGCGCTTCATCTAGTGGACCATGTGTAAGGCCTGAGTAGACATAGGTCCCGGTCTTCAGATACTTGCTGATGCATGTTCGAGGAGTTCCCAATGACGTCCTTGGGTCATTGGGAACCTCCGAATAGCAAGGGTGTGGCATCAAAAACATCGCCTTCGTCTTCGATAACGGAATTTGAGTCTTCACGCAGAAGTCTTGCAACTCCGTCAGAAAGCATTTGCCTCTGAGTGAGTTCTCACTTTTAATGACTTCTACAGATTCTACACCCTTTAATAGCTCATATGCCCGAAACACCTACTCGTAGAAACTTCTAGGCTTAGTTCAACTATTTGAAGCTCCAGTGGTTGATCAACTTCCGAAGATGTATAGGGGAAAGAAGGATCCGGTTATTTACTCACGGCATAATACGCCCTATCCTGACGGAAAATTCTCCTGTAAACGGCGCTTCGCTTAATTCGGCATTATTTGGGCTTCATATTAACTTCCCATAGACAAAAACAATCGATATACAAAGGACATAACTGCACCTTCAACGCCCGATCTAGTGCGAGAGGCGTCATTTGGCTATAAGGCCTAGTTGCATATCAAGTAATTGCAAATTAATCCTTAGTTATATAAATTAGCGAAGACGGTCATGAAAGACACTAAAAGGCACTGAATTACGTATCACAGTATAAAATTGTCTTTACTTGGCCAGGTTATGTCTTCAGTGGCCAAAAATGTCGCGGACAACACACGGTTGAACAACTCATTTGCGATAGTTTTCCGATTACGTAAATGCCCTACAGTTAAGTCACCCGTGGCTTGGAGTCAGAACGGTGAGACTCGAAAATTGAATCAGACTCCGACCCACAAGAAAGGTAGTACAGTTCCATTTAGGGGTACGCCGAGTATTTTCAGCCCAGCACGTCCATAAACCCCGCAGCTCCAATTATATCCCCGAATAATTCTCTGTCCTGCGTACCGGTTACTTATCAAAGCCCTACTATATATCCAGCAAATAATTCATACTTGAATTGCCCTAGGTCATTTGTGTCCCAACCTAGTTCAGGCTTCCCACCACGTAAGGCCAATTGCTCTCAGGTACGTCAACCTACCTCCTTTGACTGCCTACCTAGACCTGGTTTCCCACACTTTTATTCTTATAGCTGCCTACCCTCCCCCACTAGCTTCTACTTTCCTTCTAGGCTCCCTCCTCCTCTTCCTCCACAATTTAATTACCAACAAGTCTATCCATGTTCTAATTCCCCTAGCATTCTAATGTTCGAAAACTATAGCC